TTTTGTTCCTCAAATCTCCACACCTTTGGGATAGCAGAGACTTACAGATTCTGTTCTGGGTGATGCCAAAGAGTGGCAAATTGGTGAAAACTTACAATAAAAACTAGATTATAACCACACCATCAATGTATTCAATACTCCAACTAAAATTTATTAAACCATTTTATATGATTTTCACTAATGCAAAAAAAAAATTTTTTTTAACACTAAAACTAAACTGTGATTAAGATAATAGAAAAGTCTGATCCACTGGGTAATGCTGGGAAAGGATGAATTACTTCTGTTTGCTTGGCTGGCATCCACCACCAGGTTTCCTGGTTCATACCACAGTCTGTCATTTCTCTAGGTCTAAAAACGTAGTCCCAATTCAGGCCCTTTTCTTGGAAAAAAGCATAAAAAAGTTCTTTTGCAGAAAATTCTCCTCTGTGACCCAAAGAGAGACAGATCTACAAATCCTCACCCTGTAGTACACACTTTGAGGATAAAAACAGATTCTGTTCAACCACAAATGCCACAACTGAAATGATACTTTTTAAAAATTTCAAGGCATTTTAGCTGTCATATAGCAATAAATTATTCTTTAGTCTGCAGTTCTTCTTTCTTTAAGAGGGATAAAATGGCGCTGAGAAATGCAGTTATAAAGTGTTAGAAGAGAATGTTCAAGTCCAAAAATTATTATTTGGGTGTTAGAGTCATGAGGATTTTACAATGAAATGTACCATCACTCCAAATCTCAAGTATTTATATAGAGTACGTTCCAACATGTGCTCGGATATTCATTAACCAGATGGAGGTGGCAAATGAGTTAAAAACAAGAAAAAAATCATCATAAAAATATAACACCATTAAACGTATTGTCACTCCAAAACCCGAGTATTTACAAAGAATACATTTCAACGTGTGCTAATATCTATTAACCAGATGGCGGTAGTTAAGAAGGGTTAAAAAATAAGAAAAACCAATATAAAAATATAATTCTATTTTTCAGTTTCCTCTTCCCTGCCTAATGAGGAAAGGGGGTGGGGGAGGAGAGCAACTTTTGTTATTGGGATACAATGTGTGTTTTTTTGTTTTCAAACAAAAAAGGGCCACCAAATAATCAACCTGGGGCCGCTGACCGGAAGGCAGCCCCGGAAAACTTCCCGTGGGAAGAGTTCCAGAAATTGCCCGGGACTTTAACGAGCCCCGCTGTGCTGGCTGCGAGCCTCCGACCCTCAGAGGCGACCGCGGCTCGCCTCGCCCGAATACCAGCAATCGTGCCGGCTCGCCCAGCCCTGGACTTGGGAAACGTTCCCCGGAACGTTTTACAGATCTGAAAAGCTAGACGGGAAAAACATTTTGAACAGAAAGGAGAAAACCTCAAAGTCCCCGAGTACAGAGGAAAAGCCAGGTCCAGATGCGCGTGTACGCACGTCCAGCCCCCGAGTCCGCGTGCCCTGGCGCCCCCTCCCTCCTCTCGCTCGCCCCCCTCCCCAGCCTCGTCTCTCTAGGCCCCCGCCCCGCGGTCTCCCCGCGCCCACGCCGTGCCCCCTTCACCCTCCCCACGCACCCACCTGCACCTCCCGCAGGGTCCCCCATCACCCAGGACGTCTGCATTGGGCGTGCCCCCCCTCCAGTCACACTCCCTCCCCGACCCCTCGCCCCAGTCCCCCACTCCTCTGCTCGGATGACGTCCAGGAAAACCACCCGGGGCTGGGTTCCTAGTGTGCGACTTGGGGGCGTGGGGACATGGATGGAGGACAGGGCGGGGGACACGGCTGGCCCTCGATCTCCGCGCCGCAGGAGGGCGGCGGCGCGGGCTCTCCGGAGACCCTCGGGACAGCGCGMGGAGTTCTCGCGCAGCCTTCAAGTACGGCAGAGCGACGGCGAGGTCACCAACATTTCTGAAACCACTTGCGAGCCGCCTCGGTGGCGGCGGCTGGGGGGGTCCTTTTGCAAGTGAGCGAGGCGCCCACAGTGTGGCCTTGCCTCCCCTGGCCGGTCCTCACGCCTCTCCGCGCCCCCTCCCCCCAACGATCAATTACCAGCCACCCTTCTGCCGGGAGCGGCGAGGGGCTGGCTGGCGGCCGCGAGGAAACGCAGCCCGGATCACTTCTGCATGACAATTGATGGGAGGGAGGGCGCGAGGCGAGGAGGGAGGACGGCCGCGGGTGTCCGTTTTCTCACCATGGTGATTAGGCATTCCGGCCGTGCGAGGAGGCAGCCGCCGAACAGCGGCGCGCTGTGGAGCGAGGGCAGGGGAAGAGAGCGGGAGCGAGAGCGAGAGCGAGCCCAGGCGCCCGGCGAGCGGCGCGCCGAGCTGAGCCAAGCCAGGCCAGATGGCTCTGCAGCCATCAGGGACCGCTCCGGTCCAGCCCGGCCCCACTTTAGCTGTGCAAACATTTCTTTATCCCAACAAGACAATTAAACCCAGCAGCATGAAAAGGAGTCTCCATGACTGTGTTGGGAGTGAACAACCAGAAACCACACACATCACAGGAGTTCTTGCCCCCGGGGAGAAAGGGGGGAGAGCAGGGGAGCAGCTGAGCTGGGCTAGGTCTGGGCAGTCAGGACAGAGGGAACCATCTGACCCCTCTCCTCTGATGATTTGCTGACCCTTTCACACTGTTCATCTGCTTCAGCTGCAATCCAGAGGTGGCGCCTGGTGACCTTGGAACTGCCTCCAAACATTCTCCACACCCCAGACTAACATCTCTGCCCACCCAGTCCCATAGCCCTTGGAAGGTAGTCCACTAACATCATCCCCATGATGTCAGCCAGCCCTCCTCATTTCAGGCTGTCCTTGGCCTGAGAGCTCAGTGTATTCTCAGGACATAGGGTCTTCAATGACAACACGCCTTTATAAAGATACATCTCAGAGTACAAGATACCATCTCCTACTACTCAGGGCTTTTGGGACCTGAGAATAGTTTTTCAAATATATCAAAGATGAGAGCAAAGCAAAATATCCAGGAATTGTTTGGAGCCATCAGCTTTCCTGCCTACCTGTGAATCTGCCTGACCAGAGGAAGGGCCAAGGAAGAGGGCCAAGTAAAGCCACTTATGGTCAGTGCCCAGTGCCCCTCCCTGGGGTGAGCCAGAAGGCAGGCCAGTCCCTGCTCCATGGGGACAGTTCTGGGCCTTCTCAGCCCTGAGGTGAGCACACATACTAGCCAACTCCAATTTGGGCTGAATGGATAGCGGGCTGGCCAAAGACTTGTGTCACCCAGCAGGAGTCTGGGCACAGGGGAGATCTAAAGAGAACCATCAGGAGATGCACATGACAAAGCCAGAGTGTTGAGGGGGTAATAAGTGTATGTATTACAGCACAAGGCAGCAGACAGTACTTACCTTCTCTTTTGTTGTAAAGTTTCCTTAATGAGGAATGTTTATTTTAAAGGCCCTGGGAAACATATCTGTAGACGCTTCATATGTAAGACACAATAAGGACTATCTGTAATTGGTCCATAAATTTCAGCATCCTTTCCCTGGACAAGAAACCTTGGGGACTGGTTCAGGGAGTGACAATAAACTGGAGTTACCTCAGTCCTCTTCCTGGGGAATTATGTATCCTCCATGAAGGGCTCCTCACAAAACACTTCTCCCCTTTTCCAGGGCAAATAAGTCAGTCCTGTAGAGCAAAGGCTTCCTGTTCCTTAGAGCCCAACACCTACCTCAGGATCACCTGTGATGCCAGGTAGATGGAAAGGCAAACAAACTGGAATCATCTACTGGACAGAGGATATTTTACCCAAATAGCTATATTTCCATCTTCAAAAAATGCATGTTTGATCACAAAAGAAATTCTGCCTATCAGTACCCAGAATTAAGTAATCAGTGCTTGTGTATTACACCATGCCTGCAGGACCCTCTTAAAAGGCGTTCATTCACATATCTGCATATGGATGTAGTGTGTGAGCAGAGGGTGGCTGCAACAGTAAAAGCTGTCAGTGTTTCCATTATAAAACTGATTTTGCAGTGACCTAAAACTCAAGTCATAAAACTTGTACTCTGAGGAAGGACGTACACACCCCCATTTTCACATCCCCCCATTCCCAACAAAGCTCTAAAACTAAACACTTACTTAGAGTTTTACTGTTGTTTTTTAATTAAAACATTTCTTACATTTTATGAAAACACTTTATTTATATAAAAAGARCTGAAAAATAAATCAACCATCAGAAATTAATTCTAGATTTTAATAATAAAAAACCTAAATTATACATGATTCATTTTGGCAATCCTGGGAAAAGCACTGTATCCTCCCCGGTTTCTCCTCTCTTCCCCCCTCCCCCATCCCCCATCACTGTCCCATCTGCCCCTGAAGCTCCTTTCTCCCTTTGGAAGCAGTCTTGTATACTGTCACTCGATTATCTGAGAAATATTACTTATTTCAAAACGGTTCTGTAGGGAGGACCTGAAAGGCATCTAGTGGGAATAATCAGCCCTTCTAAAGGCCCTTAAATATGTATTTACATAAAAGAGACCATAAATATTCCAACACACGTTGGCATATGACAAGAGCCAAGAAGGTTGCTACTGACTTTGTCATAGTGCTTCTTCAACCCTTCCTTGCAGGAAATGTTTCTCTTGCCTTCCACAAACTCAAAAATCAAAAGCACAGATGTTGCCTAGTYCAACCCTTCAAAGGCTGCTATCCAATCTAAGGCAAAGAAATGAAAAAGGAGGATGAATCTAGGACTAGCACAGGGTGACAGTCTCCTCTTCACTTGGCACCTTTGTGTCTGGTTAAAGATTAGTCACAAATGCAACTCTAGCTAATAATGTGGGTGTGTACAAACAGCCTGCACTCATAGATACTCCCATAGGTATAATGTCTGCACCCAAGAAAAGGAGARCACAAAGTACTCCATAAGGGAAGCATATTTTAAACAAATAAAAAGGGAAGGAACTCCAATTTATATAACATGACAATTTGAAATAAAGAAGTTTCCCCACCCTTCCGATCAGAATCTCATTAATTTCAAGGTCAGAATTCCATTTCACTTTGGGAGACAGATTCATTTAATTTTTCTCCACCCAGGCGTATTCCTGTGTGAGGGATCCATCTCCATGGGGGAATGGCACCACCACACAATGCAAACCAGGCAAACAGAAGAGTTATGGCTTTGACACTCGGAGGGGAATGGATATCCACAGCTATGAGTTCTGACTTGACTAACAAGCTTCCGCCTGCTCTGAGAGTCTGACACGGGTTTGGGCTTAAAAGACAGCAAATGGAGACAAGCTGGATCTGTTAGGTGAGAAGAAAGGAATCATGATCTCTAGATGTTACTCTGTAGCACATTCGTTTTGAGAAGATTTCATTTTCAACTTGGACTTGGAGGAAAAAAGGGTCAGAACCCTGACCCAGGGCACTTTTAGCCAGAGGTCAGATTACAGCTAGCTTTGATCACTTACATATCCCATTAACAAATAAAAAGTAAAAGAAAATAAAACAAAAACAGATCAACATAATACCAACACCTGTCCAGCAGGTATATTCAGAAGCAGGATCAAAATACACAGGAGTCGACAGAAAGTCAACAGAAAGGCTGGAAAGCCCAAGTGTGAGAACCACACTAGCAGTTGTGCTGTCATGTAGCAGCCTTCTCCCTTAAGTGGGGAGGTCTCCGGCTTACAGACGCTGACATAAAAGACACACTAGCAACATATTTCAAAACCAAAGAGCGATGGATTTACAAGGCAGGTTGATTTTATGATGACTTTTATTGAAAAGGTACGCTGGGTTTAGGCAGATGCCTTTTAGCGCAGGAAAGTTAACACAGTGCCTAATTCAAGGAGACAGCCTGAGGAAGCAGTGCCGACAGGGGAGAGAGCTGCAATGTCTCTATTACTCTCCTCGGCATCATAAAGAGAAGAGAAAAAAATGGTATTCGTGTTGGTGGTTATAGAGAGGACAGGAGTACAAAAAAAATAGAGAAGAGGGGAAAGCAAACCTCAGATGTAGTTTTCTTAAGAAAATAAAATGAAGCAAATCTCAGAACAAAGGGTTGGGTGGGAAAACACCCTCAGTTCATAAATTCTCACCAGGCTTGAAGAAAACTGCTCTGTCTACCCACAACCCAAAAGCTTCAAAACACAATTATTTTCTGATTATATCAGAGCAGAAGATTGCAAGGTTCAGCACTCTAGTCTACAAGTTCCAAATAAAGCTGTAGTTTCAACAATATGAGTGTAGCCAGAGCCCAACAAGGTTCTTGGAGAACATGAGAAAAGCCATTTTCTAAGCAGAAATTAATAATAGCTGTGAACATCAACTATGGAGCAGTCACACAGGTCAACCGTGTCTAGTCCTAAAAGTGAGCCCCAGGATAAGCGTCCAGCAAACCTGTCAAATCCCAAGAGAGGTCGGCTTTCCAGCCTTGCGAGCGCAAGGAAAACACAGCTGTTTGAAATGCTTTATGGTGATTGACGACACCTTTGTCCTTCTCTGAAAAATAGCCTGATGTGGACAAGGGCTGAGAGTTGTGAAAATAAAATCACGTGGAGTCTGCTGGCTGTGATACAATGGAAAAGCTAAAAAATAATACTGCAATCAGAGAGCCATAATGAGACCAGCAAAAAAGAGGAAGGATGGACAAGTTTTTCAGGCCTCCCAAATTCCCTGGGAACCTACACTTTCTAATGAAATGACCTTCACTCCAGTGCATATATGGCACCCTCTTCATTCCACAATCCCCAGAAGAAGCAAGCCAGATCCAGGAGATAAAGCAGTGCTGAGGCCAATCTGCCTCTGGCTACTTTCATAAAAACACTTTCTATAAGAACTATCAGTGCTCATTGGTGAGAGACAAATAAATGTTAGCACTCCATAGCTATCGCAAGGGAAGTGGTTGACCCTTCCCGTCACTAGGAGCATGCACAATGCCGCCGACCTGTTGAACACTACTGGGAGGCAGGGCTAACTGGGGGCGAGGGAGGGCTCCAACCAAAGTACTTACATCTGTCATTCCGATCCTCTGGGCTAGATGAGGCTTCCCGATCAGAAATGAGGCCAGAGACCGCAAAAATCTTCTTCCCAGTGTCATCAACCTTAAGTGAACCGGGGGAACTAGATGGCAGCTGTGTTCCAAAGTCATATTCCTTGCCATCTGCATCTGAGAAGCGCAGGTGGGGAGACTCTGTGTCATGGCAGTTCTTAAGTCGCTTGGCCGGTGTAAAGGCTGACTGATAGCTCTCCCGGTCCTCAGTGGAAGCAAAGGGACGGAAAGCCCCCACACCACTATGATTCAGCATACTGATTGGGGTGCAATCTAGATTTGGGGGAGCAAACTGGGGGTGCAGATGTAGTAAGGAAGGGGGGAAATCACGATTGGCAAAAGTGCCTGGCACTCCACCTTGCCGATGGTACATAGAGGCAAAGGTGTAGGAACCATTGGTGAACGGAATATGCACATCCTTGTCTACTGAGACAGGTACACCAAAGGGTCGTGGCTGCTGACAAGGAATGGAAGCATCCCGGCTGGCCTCAGCCGTGGACGCAAGGACCATCAATGCTGGGGATGCCAGAGGGTTGGGAAGGTAGGATGAGTTCTCCATCTTGAAGGCTGCCCGGTGTAAGTCCATCGGAGTCTCTTTCAATGGCTGGTGTCACACAAGAAGCAGTCTTCCCTGGGAGGGAGGCCAAGCGGCACCTTGGATCAGGGCAGGGAATATTACTGGGGAATCATGCCCTTCTAAGACCTGCAGAAACAGCAAAGAGAAAAAAAGAGGGAGGAGGAAAGTCAGGGGGAGGAAAAAAAGGGAAACCCCAAGTGATCGAAACACCATCCTTCTGGCTTACAGATGCTCGGGCAAGAGACACCACAGGCTTTAGGAGCCAGTGGGCAGCAGCAGCAGACCATTTTCATTCAGGAAAATCAATAGACAACTTACTGTGATGTACGCGTAGCTGACTTTGGTCCCTACACGTTCCGGGTGAAATGCGCCTGAGCCCAGGAAAGAAAAAAAATCATAAAACCTCTCAATACAATATTCCCTGAGCAAATGAGCTTTGGAAGGCCAAGTCACCCAGTAGATTGGGGGGGGGGGTGTCTATATTTTAAAGGGCTTCCACCACATACCCTAGTCATGGCAGGCCTGATGTTCAGAGGCTAGGTTCTGCTTATGATTTCTCACATCTCCATCCTCTCTTTATCTTCCCTAACAACGCCCAGATACTGAAAAAACCCTTATAACAAGCACACCTAGACCAGGAACATCTGTACAGATTAGTGGGTACAAACTGTACATGTGGCTTGATCATACCCTTTGGCATGTACATAAACATATATCTCTGTGTATCATCTAAGACTGTTTCCAGAAAGAAGTAGCAACATCATAGCAGCAACATCATTTTTGATGCACACCCCTCTCAAATCACACAGCCTTCCTATTCCTCTTTTCTGAGAAGGAACAAAACCTTCATCAATAAAATGCCTGGCGTCTCTAATAATATTTAAAAACATAATGGGTGCCTTTGGCATATGCTCTCCACAAGCGTTTGTCTTCCAGGGGCAGCAAAGAACGGATTGGTAATTTTTTTAGTTATTAATGCACTCACTCCTAAGTAGATTTGTAAACTGCCTTGGATTTGCCATTAACATTTAGAGTAAAATGTTAACAAAATTTCTGACTTATTTTGCTCTGCTTATTGGCCTGGTCAGAGTTGATGTCCAATAAAGGCCCCCCAGAACAAACTGGAGTTCAGACAGACTTCTTTTGGTTTACCTTGTAAATTTAGGTTGTAGTTTTCATAGCCACTGATTGGGTTTCAGAATTTATATTGAATGGGGGTTGGGGGAAAGGGCTATATATCAAAAGCCAGGAAAAGATAGACTTATTAGCTTCAAAAATATATACACTAAGTAGAAACTGAAGGAAACTCAAAGTGTAACCCCAAATCACCACCTGCTACAAAGAATAACCTTTAAATTGAGAGACAGAAATAAAACTGACACCCCCCCTCTTTAAAAACCCACTTCCATAATGGAGTCTCTTTGGTATTCCCTCAAATAGAGAATCCTCAGTTAAACTGCAGATGAATCCTCTCCGCTTAATGCAGTGCAAAGAGAGTATTTCCTTCTCCCATCCTGTAGCAGACGTGTCAATGACTGTTATTAATTGGGAAGATGAGTGGACACCATCAGACTGCTTCCTCATTTGGCATCTTTCCTTATAGACATCATTGCTAAATTACCAGATTATGTATCTCACATTAACGGATTTTTCTCTCTTCCAAATTTTAAATAACTTTCCTGTCAAGTTATAGCAGTGCAGGGAATGATCTGCCAAGGACAGCCAGTTAGCCTGACAAGTCTGGGAATCCGGTTCTTGGCTGTTTTCAAGTCAGATTAATGGTCATACAACATGAATGCTCTGAAAGTGGATCTAGGGGGTTTCCAAGGGTTCTAAGCAGCTCTTCACAACCGAAATAAATAACTACAAGTCTATCCACAAACCATAGTATGTGAGGCTGGCTGGAGAAAAGAACAAACTTAATACACTGGGGGTCTGGCAAAAATGTTTCTTCCCCAAAATAACTACCCCCAGGATTCACTTTCTATTTTTGCTTCCTGGATCACCTCATTATAATAAATGAGTTTCATAAATTAATAATCTGGTGACAGCACCGGACACTCCAATAGAACACAGTGAATCACTCAAACCTGCTTATTCATTTGAAAACTTCATTATACCGAAAATAAATCAACAATATTTTTCCAGGCCACATCTCTTTTACTCCACTGTGTGGGCGTTGGTCTCTGAGGGGGAGGAGGGGTGTTTTTTCTTTTCTCTTTTCTTTCTCCCCCCTCCTCACATTAACAACTTGTATAGATGAGGCTTCAGCAGACCACAGTCATTATGAAAATCTATAGTTAATACACTCCCAATGTCAAAATGTCATGGGTTTAAACACAGAACCCAAAATAAGAAAACTAACTGACCCTCTTAATTAAAAAAATATGGATTGTAAGATAATCAGCTTGATGGAGCATTTGGGTGACTGTAAAGAACCGGGCAGAGGGAAAGTAAGTAACTGTTACTTTTCTGCCTCTATGCTGATTTTTTTTAATTTAGCACTTCGTGCAAATCCAGATTAAAATAACTCCAGCTATTGATCCGAGCAGTGGAATTGACATTAATTTTAGTTCACTTCTCACTTTGCAAAGGGATCAATAGGAAGTAATAACAGCTGACATCCCCGCTGAAAGGAGGAGAAAGAAGGGCTGAAGACAGAAATCGAAAAGCAACCAAATAAATCATCAGCTACTTTTCCACGGCATCAGACAAACTCCAAACAGATTGCAAAAAGTCTTTGTTGAATTAACTAAACAAGGAGGAGGGATCAATCCACGAAGCTAAATAAATTGTCTGGCAGGCAGTGAGGTTGGACAGAGGGACCAACAAATATTGAGTTTTAAAAATCTCAAATCCTTGACGTGATGGGTTTTGGTTCAGTTCTGTGTGTGTGGGAGTTTGTTTCTTAAATCACACACCCGACCCTGGTTTAAAGTGATTACAAGACGCCAGCTAACTGAATAATTAGTGAGATTACTAATTGCGTGGTTAAACATGCCAGAACCAAGACAAATGAAACGAAGAAACCGGCATTTGGAACGTGAAAATGTCTGAGACTGGGCTGATGCGCAGCGCTCCGCGCTCTCCGGCGCGAACTAACCACTTTAGCACAGAAAAACCGAAAGCCAGAAAGTCCCAGAGAGTGGGCTATCTCCCACCCTTGTCCAGGGTCTGGGCTTCCTGACCCTTGCCCAGGATCGGAGTAGGAAGAAGCCGTGTTGCTGCTGTTGCTGTTGCTGCTACTGCTGCTGCTGCTGTTGCTGTTGCTGCTGCTGCTGCTGCTGCTGCTGTTAGGAGCCAAACCCACTTGCAAATGACTGCCACAAAGCAAGCTGCAAAGGGCTCTCTCCTGGAGCCGAGCTCAGGGCGCCCACCAAACTACCGACTCTGCTGGCAATTAAAATGCACACACAACACTCCTCTGCTTATAACAACAGGTGACATTTTTGTGGTCTCTGAACCGTTTCCAAAAGCCAGGACTTAAAATATAGAACAAATTAAACGATATTTTTTCCTTTGCATAAATAAACTTTTAAAAAATTAACAGGCAACTTAAAAAGCAAAGAACAATGGAAAGTGAGGCCAGAGTAGTTGGGGGTTGTGAAGAACGCAGGAAAGATTTTTTTTTTTAAGTTCACAGACTTCGCTTAAAGAGAATCCCCCCCCCCCCGCCCCAACCCCGCACACCAAATGCCCAGGGGGTATTTGGAAACACCGCCCTAACAGAAATTTTACCACCACACGCGAAAACTCTGGGAGCATAAGGCTAAWACGGTTCTCAGGCTATGGCCGACGCCTAAGGTTCAGACAAGGCTGGGTATCAGCCCCACATTTGGATCAGAACCCAGGCCCTGCTTGGCTAAGGGTTGCGAATCCGAGACAACCGGACCGGTCGGATTGTGCGGAGCCGCGGGGATGCCCGCTGAGATAGCGGGTGCACAATTCAGCCGGGAAGAGTCATGACCCGGAAAAACCATCTCTTTGGGGGAAAACGGGGAAAGACGAGATGAAGGCGAAGCCTACATAAACTTGGGGCCATCGTTCAGCCGAGCCCACCCACCACTCGTTGGCCTGACTTCTCTCTCCAGCTCTTGGTTGCCTTTGTACAAAGAATACTTTACAGCCCAACAACCTCCGCATGGAAACAATTTGCTTTAACTTTGGGGAACCAAGGTGCCGGTTTCGCAAAAGCAAAGAAGCCCAAGGGGCTCTGGTCCACAGCCGCGCAAGGCCTCGGGGCAAGGTCTCCAAGCACTCTGCCTTCGAGCAAAGTCCAAGGACCTGGAGCTCCGAAACAGCCCCGCCCCGAGGGTCACCCGGGTCTCGTCGCCGCTTCAGCGGGCAGCAACGGGCTCCTCCACTCTACTTTGGTGCAAATGCGGGCGAGTGTGGGCTGCCGCGTTCCGGGACAGCGGGCATGGGGAGCCGAAGGGAGGGTTTTGCCCTCTGCGCCACCGCCGCCGAGCCGCCGCACCCGGCGCGGTTAGCAGAACAGGTGTGTGTCCCGGCTCGCTCCGCTCCCAGCCCCGGTCCCGTCGGTCACCGGCGGAGGGGCGCCGCCCTGTCCTCGGCCTTCCCCCACCTTTCCCCAGAGCGTAGCGAGCTAACTCACGCCACTTTTGCCGGGTCTTCGCAAGCCAGGAAGAGATCCGAACCGGAGATGCCCGGAGCGCTTTTCCTCGACGCTCTTTCAGTCTTTCCCTCTTTGCTCATTTTCCCTTTGCGGGAAGAGCTGGAGAGACGGAAAGAGGAGGAGGCCCGGCAAGGCACAGGGCCCCTGCCCGCTCTACTCCCCCAGTCCCACTCGSTGCTTCCTCACTGCCCGCCCTTTTTTCTTTATTTTTCTTTACTTTGCGCATTGCCCCTCAAACCGAGTCTGGCGCGGGGGCGAGAGGCAAGACGTGGTTGCTGGGCAGCGTGGGCAAAGAGCGCCGGTGTTTTCCCTCTCTGCTGCTCCCGGGACAAGGAGGCGGCGCAGGCATGAGACCTCGGACAAGCCCGGCCCTCCAGGCAGGCCTGCTCCCCATCCCGATGGCCCTGGCCCTATGCACCCACCCGGTGTGACACGCACTGAATCCGCGGCCCAAGCCACGGTCTTCGGCTAGAGCTGCGGCCAG